CTAAGAATGAAATTAAAGCATGATAATTCTCCACACCGTTTATGAAAATTGGTGGAGTTTTATCATTTTGAGGTGGTTGTCTTGTTTCTTCAGTTTGCGAGTTAATCTTGGTTAGAGCCTTAAAACTGTTAGAGGTTGGAATAGGTTCTGCTGGTCGTTTTTGTGCTCTTGGCTAGCTTGAATCTGACATAGATCTTTTACTACCAATAACCAGCTCCCAGGAGCCAACGTCACTGGTTGAGTCACTATTTGCTAAGTTCATATTGCTTACCTCCTCGTGTTGTGACCGTCAACCATCATTGGCGGCGAATTCTGCAATGAAATGAAAGGACCAAGAGTTTTGGAAAAAATACAAAATCCCCTCTCAACGGCTCAAGACACAAAAATCCTTCATGCTGAAGGCGATAGCACTACTTGAAGAAAGAGGGCTTGACTGTGAAGAAAGGGAACCATTTATACATCCACAGTTACCAATTCACAATCACGCATGCAATGCAGAACTGCAACTCCTTCATAAGGTGGATAAGAAAGAAACACCTGAATACGAGCTGAAAGCATTAGCATTAGAAACCATAGCTCAAAAGTACCCTCCTCAAGATTGGCTCCATATCTATACCGATGGATTAGCTGAATCAGCCGTTAAAAATGCTGGAGCAGGGGCTTACTCAAAGGCATTCCAAATCAGGGCTGCGGTCCTCGTAGCCTTAAGAACATTGTCTAGAAGGCGGGATCAGAGCGCTGTTCTCTTCATCGACTCCCAAGCAGCCATCCTCGCTGTTACAAGCACGAATGAATGTTTATCGAGTGTTATATTGGAATGTAAATCCCTCCTCTCTAACCTGACAATCGAGGCACCAATGTGGTCCTACAGTGGATCCCCAGCCATTTTGGGATTCCGGGTAACGTTGAGGCTGATATTCTTGCCAAGCGAGGAACAGATTTGCTCAGCTGATACATCCAAAACTCTACGACTCATTACGGCGAATGGTAAAGATGGTAGTGAAGGAAGAAATAAGAAAAGCACATTTCGGCAAAGCGGAAGGGAAACGTTACGAGTGGTTAAAGGATAATCCGATTCCAGCTGAGCTGTCGAGAAGAGATGCAGTTGCCTGCTTCCGCCTGGCCACTGGTCACGACTATCTGCAGAGTCATCTTAACAAGATAGGCGTGGCTGTGGATCCTACCTGTAAATTGTGTCATCAAGGAACAATGGATGCAGACCATCTAGACGCATGTCCTGCCTTGAGGGACATAAGAGAAAAGATATTTTCAAATATATATATCAGAAAGTCTAAATTATACTGGGCAGCAAGATGTCGGATGGCCAAATGACCAACGACTGGCATAAGAAAAAAGAAAAAAAAAATACAATGAATTGTTAATCCACTACCATCCCCATCCCCACATCCCCTCCTCCGGAACTATCGGATCCTGCGTTTTAAGCCCAAAAACGGACTATTTTCGAGATAACGCAAGGGATAGGGTTCGCATACACACAAACTTACATTAATTGTAGTACTGTCATTGAATTCATGTCTCATTTCGTCGACTTGATGTCTCTATGACCGACAGAGGAGGAGTTTATATTATTTATCGATAGTGTTTTTGATCGTTAAGCCATATCATCGTTAATTTTTCACCAAATCTCAAGATTGAGCCACCAATTTCGAAGGCTTCCTTCTCCTTCAGGCGGGCAAAATAGTCCAATCACCCCGAAAATTCAGGCAAACAAGTTATGAAAGAAAACAAACTTTATTTGCGAATAACTGAAAAATTACACATTTTTCCCTGGTTCATGCCCACGATTATATAAAAGATTACTCAATTCTCTACAAAAGGAAAAAAAAATCACCGAAATCGGCCAATTTTTAGCAAAGATACAGCTTACTGAAATTTGTAAACATGTTGGTTTCAAACAAAAATGAAGATTTAAATAAATTTGTGTTTGCTTTGTGGATTATATTTATCGATAAAGTTTTGAACATTTGATGTCATCATCAATCATCATTTGATGTCATCAAATGTGCCGCATGGTGGTATGCGGTGAGGATGGTACGAATTTTGACGGTGAGATAGCAGCGATCCTCATAGCTCTAAGAACACTATCAGGAAGGCAAGTTCAGAACGCTGTTCTCTTTGTCGACTCGCAAGCAGCAATCCTCGCCATTACTGACGTGAATAAATGTATGTCGAGTGCTATCTTGGAGTGCAAATCCCTTCTCTACGATCTAACATTGCGAGGCACCAATGTGGTCCTACAGTGGATTCCGAGCTATTGCGGTATTCCAGGAAATATGGAAGCGGATAGTCTCGCCAGGAGGGGAGCAGAATTGCCACAAACAGCCCATCCAAAATCCTACGATTCAATTCGGCGAATGGTGAGGATGATAATGAAGGAGGAAATAAAAAATATGCACAAAGACAAGGTGGAAGGGAGACGTTATGGATGTTTGGTGGAAAACCCGATCCCAGCAGACCTACCGAAAAGAGATGTAGTAACCTGCTTCCGCCTGGCCACTGGTCACGTCTATTTACAAAGTCATCTGCACAAGATAGGCGTGGCTGAGGATCCTAGGTGTAAATTATGTGAACAAGCGGAAATGGATGCAGACCACTTAAACGAATGTCCTGCTTTGACGGATATTAAGAATCAAACATATGTAAATTACTATATAAAAAATCAAACTTATATTGGGCAGCAAGATGTCGGATGGTCGAATGACCAATGACTATGACATAAGAAAAAAAAATTTGATGTCTTAATCTTTTGATACGTTGCATTATTTTCTTTTCTTATTAATTTGGCATTTCAAAACAACATGCTGTGCAAATTTTTCGCACGGGCCTACTAGCGGTAATTAATTGTTTTAAATGAACTTATACCGCCATTTTCACTTTAACTTGCCTATATATAAAAACTAGCTGATATACCCGTCATTGACGAGTGTATAGTTAAAATTTGAGAATCTTTTTTTATGATGGATTTTGTATTATGGAAGGGGGTCCAAATTTAATTTCATAAAATTCGGTGAGAGGTGGTTGTTTTGAATCAACCTCAACCTGAACAGCTTTATTCCTGAGGGGGTCTTTTGTCCTAACTTTCCTTTTAAGTTTGGCTGCTTAGGAAATTTGGCTTAAATTGGAATTTTTATAAATCCGTAGAAAATCGCACACAATTGGTCTGCAGAAAAAAAACAGAATTTCTTCTGCAGTAAATATTTTAAAACCCACAAAATTTGGTTCAATAAAAAGTGGCTGGTATCTTTTCTTTATTGCAATAGCTCAATATCAAAAGACAAAGCCGGGTCAAGTACCAAGTAATTGTAGAAAAAAAAATATAAAACCCAAAGAAATTAGTACCAAATGTTATTCCAATGATTCATTATCAAAATACGAAGTCGGGTCAAATTCCAAGTAAACTGCAAAGAAAAAAAGAAAAACAAAACCCAAGGATATTGGTACCAACTCGTCCAAATAATTCAATATACGAAGCCGGATCGAATTCCAAGTTTGTGATAATCACCCAACCAAATACGGTTTCGATAAATTATATCGAAACAGTAAATCAGTAATCAAGTCAATTTCAATAATCAAAGCCTATTCAAATCGATAAGTCCCAAATACTCTCAGTTTTTATTTACATTATACGAATTCAAACCGTCAATAATTTTTTTTCATTCATTCAAATTTTTACTGGTGCATAAAAAATTAATTAATATTTTCAATATTTCTCAATTTCTTCCTCGGTGCATTATATCTATTTTCCAGATTATTTAACCTGGAAAATTAAGTAATATTTCATCTGCGTTTTCAAATACCTAGTAAATTGTAATCATACAATTAAAAAAAAAAAATAATTATTTTATGCATTTAGATTTTGTTTATGTATATTATAAATTATTTGAATATCAACAGTTATTTATTAATCAATTCAATTTAAGGTTTAAAAATTAAGTAAAATATAGATTTAAAATTGAAAATCTATATGTGAAACAAATTTTAACTTTCTTGACTGACAATGAATATGATAGTAGAGCTAATGAGTGAACAATTTTGTATATATGTTCGGTATTTCGATTTTTTCCCGAAGAGTTGTTATATTTTTTTCCATCAGTTTAATAGTATAACTTTTAAAAGTAGGTTGGGATGAGAATCGAAACGAGTAACTGCCTAACCGGGTTCTCTAGACAAATTACTCAAGAATTCATAACTTTGATTCCGCTCAATATTTTGTTTTCATTTAAAGCCTATGTTTAGTCAAGCACACCTAAACATAATGTCAAAATTTCAAAAGTCTACTATCAGCCGTTGCTGAGTTTACCCCTGACAAAATATCGTTGGACAATGCGAAAAATATTTTAACAAAAATATTTTAAAAGTGGATTTGGTATCTGTCATTTATGAAACAAAAAAATATCATGAAAAAGGTTGATTCTATTCAATATACAGACAAAACCTTTATTTTATTTATATAGATACCTATCTACTGTAAGGTTATTTAAATGAAATTTGTGTGATGTGCGCACCGTACCAGATTTTTTAAAGTAGATCCAACATTCAGACTCTCATTTTTCAATTTCAATACTACAAGGATCCAAGGAATTACTTGCAAAATTTTCTTCAAATAATAAACATTTTTCTAGCTGGACTCTGTCTGATAATGGTGAATTGTCAAAAGTTGAAAATTTGAACTAATAACTTTTAATCCTTATTTTATTTTTTATTACGTGTATAACTTTTAATGTTCATGTTTGACTTACATAGCTATTTTATGATTGCTTGTAATAATTAATTTGATTTGATCTTTGAACTATTATAACTAAATTATGTAATATTGAACATATAGAATTTAAATAATATGGAAATGTTAAATGAAATTTAATTAACCTTTTTCTATAATTTACCCTTATCACATTATATCAGGATGATTTTGATTACAGTAACAGAAAAATGAGAATTAAATGTTTAGGATTAAAAATGGTGGATTAGAGAAAGTTACAGATAAGTTGAGGAGGAAAAGACATGCCTGGCCTGGCAAACCTGGTCCACTGTAGCAACTCTCCTTATGTTTATTCACTTTTGGTTGAAACCTCGTTGTCAGACAGGCAGAAGTGGCCGCGTTCTTTTAAGTTATTGATAACTTTCATTCTAGTAAGGTTTTCTTTTCTTTTTTCTCTTTATAAAGAATGATAACTATTTTTGATATGATAAATACATTATATATTTAAAAATTATCAAGTTCTGATTTTCACATTGGTATTTAGTTGTTCGTATGGAATTAGTGAAAAGTTTTCTTGTAATTTTTTCTTGTTAATGAACAATGTTTTTATTAATTGATTGTGTGAACGTCTTATTTGATCACATTTTTATCCTCCCTCTTATTTAAACGAATTTTATGAAAGTAACCAGGTACATATTGTGTAAAACTTGAGAAATTGAATTTTATTCCAAATTCTATAAATCATTTAGGAACCTCCTCTTTTAGAGTTATTTTTTAAAAGTTATTTTCTTCAATAATTTTTTTAAATACTTTTATGAGTAATGTTGGTATCAACATTTTTGTGTTCATTAAATTTTTCATAGCTGCTATTCCTTAAATTCCATCAAAATCAATTGAATTAAGGCCTTTTCAACAATAAGAAGTTTTATATTGTAATGGAAGCACATTACTATTATGTCTCTACTACCTCATTATGTCGTAAAATAAAGATTGATGAGTGTAATATTATTTCACCCCTTATCATTATAAATTTGCCGACTTTGAAAGATTTAGTATCTATTTTGTGTTGGTAAAATGAAGCCTTGAGTTCAGAAGTGATGTTTTCTATAATATCCTAAATAATTGATTTCTAAATATTTCAAATGTTATATTTCTATTGATAGCCTTCATAGAGTTATAGTTCTTAAGTGTCATGTCCAGTATACAGGTGGGCTTAGATCATAATGACCTGGCTGATGGAAAATCAAACATTATTTTATTTACATATATATACAACACAATAAGTTATAATAATGGTTAAATGCTTATGGCCACAATACCTTACACATGTTATAATAAAGTGGTGTGATTGCTTTTGTTTATGCTGAATCTAACTAGTACATTAGAAAAAATCTACCTAAGTTATAAAAATGAATAAATGATATTAAAAACTATAAGGTGTCTTTAAGTGTATAAACAAGATAAAACTAAGCATACATACACATATTTTATAAATTATTATTCAATAATTGGTGTGGAAAGTATGTTGCTGCTTGTTAATCAAAATTTGTAATGTTATGAAGTTGGGTTATGTCATGTTAGGAGTATGTTTTATCCGTTTGTGTGTGTGTACCGTTTCAGTGATTTCTTGTCATAGTTTCCTATTGTCTGGATCATAGGAGTATCAGATATTGTTGTAAGCTTACAGAATCTTTGTGTTTTAAAATAAATGTATTTTTTTATTGTTGGCTATAATTCTGTTAACTTAGTGGCTATTTTTGTGTATCACGGGTAGTTATTTATGATTCTCATTCATGTTTTGAATCACTTCAAGTTTTCTATAGTTAGACTTTCTAGACTCTATAGTATAACTCCACACTGGGGAAGAATATGTGATTAAAATAAATAACTGTTTTATATAAAATCAGTTTATTTTTTTAAGATAATTGGGATTATCTATTGAAATACAGGGACATTTTGCTAATAACATGTTTGCTTTATTGCATTTGTTGTTTATATGCTTGGTGAAATTTAGGGACTTATCAAGTTCAAGACCTAAATATTTCACTGAATTGGCCCATGGGATCTGTTTGTCTTTTATGAGTTATACTTGGTCTTTTTTTTTGTGAAAATTATTGCTTTTGTTTTTTGTTCGTTTAGTTTTATCTTCAATTTTCCAAAGTATTTGATGAGTCTTATAAGGTGGGAACGTAGTATGTTTGCTATTGTGTCAATTCTGAAAGATGTGTAGGTAGCTGTATTATCTTCATATTGTGAGTGTTCTACTGAAATGAGAGAAGTGACATCTGAAATATATAGATTAAATAGGGAAGGATAAAGACAGCAGCCTTAAGTTAGACCTGCAGATAGATGGATTGAGAAATGGAAATTGTTTATTGTTATGTAAAAAGATCTGTTGTTAAGATGTGATTGGAGAAGGTGGATTATGTAGGGTGGGAATTTATATACTATGAGTTTATGAATAATGCCAAACTGCATTAAAGGCTTTTTCTATGTCAAGAAGTAGCATACCGATGTGCTTCTTTTCATTAAAAGCTTGAGTGAGTGTCAATTTGGCTAGTTGGACTACTGTTGAGTGTTGTCTGAAACCAAATTTTTCTGATATAAAAATTATTTTAAGATATATGACTGTATTCTTTTTAAAATAAGTTTTACTAAAAGTTTTGATATATTAAGAAGATTTATGGGCCTGTAGCTTCCTACATCAGCTGGGTCTTTGTTTGGTTTTGGGATTGTTATAATTTTTGCAGTTTTCCTTTTTGCTCAAATTTTTATTTACTATTGTGGATATGGCATCTGGGCTGGGTGATTTTCTAGTTTTTAACAGTTATATGGCCTGCTTCACCTCTTTGGATGAAATTTAAGGGAATGTGTTTAGGACCAGTTCTTTGAAGAAATTAATTACTGATTTTTTTATTTATTGTTCTATTGTGATAGGTGGTACCTAAATCAACCGAAATATTTGAAGCTAATATGAAATGTTTAGCCATAGCTTCTGCCTTATCTATATCTGTTTGCCAGTTTGATCGGCGTGATATGGTAGGGTCGATTTGTAGGAATTTCTTGGATTTTCCAGAACGTTTTGCTATAGGAGACAGTTCACTAAGAGTTTTCTGCCACTTGAAATTCCTCCAACTGTTTAAACGCATTTTCATGTTGCCATTTAATTTATTGAAAAATATTTATACTTAATGTTTTTGGTCACCTGGTATTTAATCTTAATAAAAATAAAAAATTGTAGTGCTAGTATTTGCTCATTTAATTTTTACTTTATTTTAACTCTTTATTCTATGTAGTCACTACATTTTGATAGACTTTACAATACCTCAATTTTCTATCTATCTGTTCAATTTACAAGATCTTAATTTTACTATTTATTTTTATTTCTTATACAATTTCATGTTCCTTTTCTCTGTTTTACATGTTATTCTAAGATTACCATTTTAGTACTTATATCACCTTTAGTACTTTTACGATCATAGTTATTCGGTTTTCTTTATCACTCCATTCCGTGTTAACTGAGCGAAAGAAAAATATAAACTAATTGGGATTATTATCCTGACATGTAAAAAAAATAACCTGATAGAGGTAAGGATTATCTAAATAATACCCAAGGATGTAAACAAAGTTCAACTTTTATTACAGTATTTATGGCAGAACTAGGTATATATAATATAATAATTTATATATTATATTCAAGTCAAATTCATTATATTCAAGTCAAATTCATTATATTCAAGTCAAATTCATTATATTCAAGTCAAATTACATTCAAGTCAAATTACCACCCTACCACCTTCAGATGAATACCATTTTCTGAACAAATTTTAGTCTAAAATCTTTATTTTGTATTAAGAGAATATGGAGTAAGAGGAGCTCAACACATATGTAATTAAATGAACAGCTGTATAATTTGTAAAATAATTGTCATAGGAGAGCTCCATTACTTGAGCTCTTGTTACCTCTTACTCTCCTAATTCTAAAGTAAAATAAAATATGAAAGTCATTAAAAACTTTTTTATACATAATCATCAATTAGATAAATTATCTAATTCATCTCACTTGTTTAGCTGCAATTTATCCAGATGTCGAAGGCTCAGAATAATGAAAACTTCTGGTTCAGGTCATGCTTTATCTAAATTAAAACCGAATGCCTTAAGTTTTCTTATTATTTTCAAGATCTTCTATACTCAAAAAGGAAAACTTATAAAAAGATTGTTATGTAACAATGTTTAGGAACATTTGTCTTGCATTGACGATCTGTTCATTTTACTTTGTGTTTTGAAGATTTTTCTTTGTAATAGTTTTTTTAATTGTGCTTCCAATATATTGCTCAGTTTTTCCATGGTGTGTTGCACCCCTCTGGTACAACTGAAACTTTTTTTGGTCTCAAAAAGAAGACAAATCCTGTTCTACCTTTTTTTGATACTATCTTCTAAATTTGTTTGCTCTTACAAGATTGACCCAGATTCTCAGGGAGATTTTAAAAAAGGCTGAAACAACTTTAAAAGATTATTATAAACAACAATTAAGTTTTAAATGGACAATTTAAATATTATGTAAAACTGATAAGTTATAACTACTTTGCTTGCTTCTCCTGCCTGAAACTTGAAAATTAAAATTTACAAAACTATTATCCTACCTTCTTTCTGAATTCTTTATGAATGCAAAATATGGCCGCTTACATTAAGGAATGAGAAACGGCTTGTGGTATTCATTCATTCATTCATGTGTGGCACGACATCCCGTTACCGAGACTGGGCCTCCTCCAAGAGCCTCCGCCAGTTGGCTCTGTCTTCTGCTGCAGCTCTCCAGTTCCGTACACCAAGCAGGGTTCTTGCATCATAGGCCACGTTGTCCAACCACCTCGTCCTCGGCCTTCCTACCCGTCTTGCGAGGTGCAGCTCCTCCATCATTATTTTCTTGGGGATCTCAACGGTGCGGCTTGTGGTATTGAAAAATTAAATTTTCCATAGAATATTCGGACCGAAGGATGAGTGAACCGGAGAATTTAGATAGTTAAATAATGCCGAATTTCGTGAACTGTACCTGGTTAATATAATTGAAGTAATTATAATGTGATGAATGAAAATTGTTGGACTTAGTAACCAAAGAATTGCTAAAAGGTTAGTATGCACTTTGCTGACTGGTAATTGTCCAAAGTGTAGACCTAAGCGAAGATTGCGTTATAACTGATATGGAGGGATTGGGTTTGGATAGGAACCAGTGGAGGGAGGTGTGTAGACAGTGATTGGTGGTATCGGCATCGAACCTGCGGGTACGCTAAGCCTTTTATTATTATTATTATTACTAAAGTGCACTGTATGCTGTTTAAAATAATATATGTTTATCTTAGGGTATTTGAAAAGAGATTATCTCAATTTTTACATATATATAACTGATAAATTAAATTTTACTGTATTAGGTTTAA